AATGCTCTGGTGTTAGCGATGATGGCTGCACAACTGAACGTACAAAAAAAACCACTGAACCATATACTTTCAATGGGTGAATTACATCTCAATAAGGCTGTTATTTAAAAAAAAAAAGCATAGTGCAGAGTCTTGATCTGCAAGATATTACTTTATTTCTTAGAAACTATATTCAGAGAGATGATGAACAAATCAGCTTATAAGAAAAATACCATTTTAGGGACGCCTGGGTGGCTCAGTGGTTGAGTGTCTGCCTTTGGCTCAGGGCATGATCCCGGAGTCCCAGGATCGAGTCCCATATTGGGCTCCCTGCATGGAGCCTGCTTCTCCTCTGTCTCTCATGAATAAATAAATAAAAGCTTTTAAAAATATACCATTTTATAGGTCTCTGACAACTCTAAGAATGCAGTTAGATGTCAGGTAAATAAAATGCTATGGATGATCTCAATGTCAAAGGATTTATCAAATCCAATACAGTATTTACGAAGCCATACTCACTTGAAATCAAAATACTGTTCTGTCAAAATCATTTTCACCGGCATAAATTTGCTGTTAGCATGTGACTCTATAAAGGAGATCACTAAGGCAAAGCTATTTGGCTATAATAAAGAAATCCATTACATAGTTCTATTTAAACACAAGGTTAAATCACATACCCAGAGTTCAGTACTACTGATGGTAGTGAATGTAAATGAAAAATGTACAGTTAACTGCATACAAAAGGAAATACAAATCTGAATGGCTCAAATTAAAATTTACTGTAGAAAAATTTAAATTAAATGCCATGTTCACCTTTCTAAAAAAATATATATACCGCTTTTATAATATGGATTACTACCCTATAATATGCTTCATTTATATTACATATTAGAGCTTCCCATAATATATAACAAAATTGAGAAAATGTAATGTAGCACACAGACGAATACAAAGCCTTGATTTTAAGATTATTTATTTGAGAGAGAGCAAGAGAGCACCAGCTGGGGGGGGGGGGGGGCAGAGGGAGAAGCAGACTCCCCAATGAGCAGGGAGCCCGATGTGGGACTCAATCCCAGGGCCCCAAGATCATGACCTGCGCCAAAGGCAGACACCCAACCGAGCCACTCAGGTGTCCCTACAAAACCGTTTTTAAAAAGCCTCAATCAGGGTGCCTAGGTGGTTCAGTTGGTTAAGCATCTGACTCAAGCTCAGCTTATCTCTTGATCTCAGAATTGAGTTCAAGCCCCATGCTGGGGGGGGGGGGGGAGGAGCCTCAATCATGCTTTGAGTCTAAATACAGAGCACCACCCTGGTGCCTCTCCTAGTTTCTGATTAGTATCTTCCCATGGTTAGTTGCCCCACAGGCTTCTCAAACACAACCTGGCCAACATAGAACTCATTTTCTGTCCCAAAATGCACAAATTCTTCGTCCTCTTGTGTTTCTTATCTCAGAGAAGGTCATCATAATCTACCCAATCATGTAAGCCAGAACCAAAAAAAAAAAAATATCAATCTGGACCCATCCCTCCCCTCCATTTCCAACTTCCAAAGTCAAACACCAAATCTTCAACAACTCTATCTCTGAAGTGTCTACTGTACCCTCACCGTCCTCTTCCTATTAGTGTGGACTTCAAGTCCATCATACCTCACTGGCTCTGCCTCAAGTCTCACCACTCTTTAGTAAAACCTCCCGCACACACCTGCCACCTGGCCAACATTCTAGTGGGAACCACTCCTCTACTCTTTTTAAAACATGTGGTTCAAATAAGTACCTTCCTCCACTGAAGCTCTTGGGTAGAACACGTGATCCAGACATGATCAGAGTTCTCCATCCCCCAGTCATTACAGTGGCTGGTTCAGGGATAAAAATATATCTCAAGTTGGGCCTTCCTTGGGACTTCTTACTGAAATAAGAAGTGCACGTTATGTTTTGCTGAGATCACTTGTTGTGAGAACAACGTACCTTAAACTGACATCATTATCTCTGCCACCATGTGCCTGGTTCAGATTCGACCCTTACAAAGAAAGCAAGGTGAGAGACCACAAGCAAGAAACACTAATGGTATTTTCCTGAGATCTGGTGAAGCCAAAACTTCTTCATTACATATGCAAATAAATCCCTTCTTAAAATCAATTCAACTTCAGTTTTTTGTTGCCTATCAAATTCTAACACAACTAAATGGAATTCTCTAGTTACACTATCTAAAATCCTTCAATAATTCTTTATTACCACTAAGGTTAAAAGTCCAAGACCTTAAGGTCTACAAATTCTGGCCCCTTGATTATTTGATGGCACTACAAAACACCAAAAGTGAAGTAGAAAGATAAATGATAAACTAAAAAAGAATCTGCAACTTTTATACCAAGGGCATAAGTCCTTATTATATGAACAGTGTCTAAGAAATGAATGAAAAAAAAAAATCAATACTCCTAGAAAAACAAGCAAAACTATGACCACATGGTTCACAGAAGATAAAACTCAAATGGATTTTAAACATAAGAAAACATGCTCAATTTCATTTATAATAAAGGAAATGAAAATTAAAACCACACAAATTTCATTTGCATGTATATGGCAAAAATTCACAATTATAAAAATCTGAGTGACCAAGGCATTGGAGGAATAGGCATTCTCACAGATTGCTGGCTACAATCCCTATGAAGAGGAACCCCCTGTGGAGAGGAACTGACCCAACAATCAGAAGCTTCTGACAAAGACACAATGACAAAAATACAAACAATTCTATGCACAAGAGTACTCCTACAATGCTTTATGAAAGGGTAAAAGACCAGAAATCACCAAATGGCCACCATTAAAGGTCAGACTAAAGAAACCATGCTAATACTTGGCAGCTAGAAAATGAAGATTTCCATATACTATTTTTGTGTAACCTCCAAGTATGCTATGTTCATATAATAAAGAAGGGGAATCATGTGCATGTATATGTACTGTAAAAACATACATACACAGATACATATACACACACCACACAAAGATCACACACAAGCACATATACTGTATAAACATTTGTTTCTATTTTCAGAAAGTGTCAATAGAAGAAAGCAAAATTGATTCTAAGATAAACGACCCAGGTCTTTCAAAAATGCTATTAAAAACAAGAGGGAAATTTATTTTAAATTAAAAGATGTTCAGAAGAATATCAATAAAAAAAATAAAATGTGATGCATAGATCCTACGTGAATCTTGATCCAAACTATAAAAATAAAGACATCTTAAAAAAAAAAAGACATTTTTGAGACAGCTAAAGAAAATCGAACATATACTGGGCATAAGATGATGTAATTACTGTTAAGTTTGCTGAGTGTGATTACGGTAGTTATAGTTTTTAAACTTTTAAGCTTTGAATCTAGACATTTCTCTTTTTAAGAAAAAAATACTGTTTATTATGTATTTGGATTACAAAAGTGCCCAGGTATCATTTTAAATAATCCTTTATCCCTCGTATTTTCTGTGAACTGGTTATTCTATCTAGAAGCTTATAAAGGGGAGCCCTGGGTGGCTCAGTGGTTTAATGCCTGCCTTCAGCTCAGGGTGTGATTCTGGAGTCCCAGGATCGAGTCCCATGTCGGGCTCCCTGCATGGAGCCTGCTTCTCCCTCTGCCTGTGTCTGTGTCTCTCATGAATAAATAAATAAATCTTAAAAAAAAAAAATAGAAGCTTATATATTTCAGGCTCTATTTCTTCACCAAGAATATTCCATAGGTAGCATTTTATATTTCTTACATACACAGTCCTGTTGCCAAAAATGCCCTTCTCCCTTTTGGCCTGATAAACCTTTATTCTTCAAGACTTGGCTCAGAAGTCACCTCCTTCAGAAAAAACCTCTTTAACCTCCTGTCCTATACTAAGCTGGCTTCACCTACTTACTCTACTCCAATAGCTAACCCAAATGGCACTGGAAATGCCTGTATGTTGCCCCAATCAGGCTGTGAACACCATTAGCAATGGACTAGTCTGCAGGACTGGACGCCTGAAGCTTAAGCAGGCAAAGTTCCAAGAAACGAATCTTTACCCAGTAAACATACCAGATCATGGCCTTGTGTTGTGGCCCAACCATTCATACCTGGTAAGCAGGAAGCACAAAGCCAGAATTTCCAGGGTAATAGGAAAGAATAATGTTCAAAAGGAGTAAGACCCCCTGAGAATATCAAAGATTGCTTCTTACAGCTGGCAGACTCCTTACTGTCATCATCCACAACTACATGTTTCAACAGGGAACTTAAGGAAGCACTTCCCAAACCAGAATGGGCATGCAAATTGCCCAGAGACCTAATTTCAAATGCAGATTTGGATTCAGCACGGTTGAAGTGGGATCCCATTCCAGGTGGATGCTGTTGGTCTGCAGACCACACCGATCTAGTAAGATTCTGACCTGAAAGTCAGCCCCCCTCAGGGAACATACAGCATTAACTCCTGTCTTACTAATCATCTCTTTTAAGCTAACACAGTCTGTGTCATTAAAACAAACCCAAAATTTAATTCTTCTGCATCTGTTGGCATCTTTCTTTTAATATATCCCCTTGTGACAAATATGCAATCTCTCATTCATTTAGATCTCTCCAGCTGGAAAATAGAGGCCCTCAGTAAATGCTTGTGAAGTGACAGTCTATATAATCTCAACATATTTGATTCTTTTCCACTGGTTTCTTAAGATATGTTCACTGGTCCATCTTTCCCATTTGATTAACTCTTCCCTCTGTACATGGCACATGGTCTGCTCTGGCACAAAACCAGCACCGGTAATATCTGCTGACTCAGCCTGACGACTGGACACAAACACGCTACACCAGGTTCTTAGAACCGTGAATAAGAATCTATCCTTTTTCTCTGAGGGACTTAAATGCTCACATGTAGGACTAGTTTTCACAGAAGTTTAGTCATGTATATTGAAAAGGATCATCAGCTCTATGTAACAAGAAAATAGTGAAAGAAAGTTCTATATTATGCTTCTTCACAGACAACCTCATCAAGATAGGAAAAAACGTTTCACAAAAGGTACCTCAGTCTTCCCACATTCATCGGGTGGATCCTGGTGTATGGCCATTTGATACTTGACATATAAAGAAAATGACTGGCTGAAGGACGACTTGAACTCTGGGTCCTCAAAGGAGACAGGGACTAACCTCACCTTCAGAGCAAGGAAAATACAAGCAAATGCTATTGAAACATCTCTCCCCGGTGATGTGCTTCTGAAGGTGAGGCTAGAGTAAGATCTCCGCAAATCCACTTCCAAAGCTCAGCACTGGAGTTTTTCAAGAAATGAATAAACCCTGGAACGTGCTGACTGGCACGGAGCCTAAAGTGCTAACTTTATACTACTACATATGAAAATGTTTAACTCGTAAGGGCCAGGACAATTTGTTTTTCTTTTGTTTTTTTGCTCTTTCCCCCTCTTGTGGTTCTCTGCACAGAATCAACATTGTTGCTCATGGTAGTGGGGCACTACTTCTGTCCCCTCTACTAGTATGAAGTGTTTTAAGATTTTTCCCCTTCCACATTTTTCTTGGGTAACCTGGTTTATAAAATTACAAGCATATGAGAACTTCTATTAAAATATTCTAGTATCTTTAAAAATTCTACTAGCTTACTTTTCTAGTCCCACTCAGTTGTGTATAGGTAGTACATCAACAAAGTATAATTTGTTGTTTTTTTTTTAATAATTTGGCTCTTATGAACTCTGTCTACACATGACTTTTAAATGGAGATAAAGCATATTAACCATGTTGTGCAAAGCATGCCTGTCATAAAAATATAAAGGCTCTTTTGTTTTTTCCTCATAAACATTTTATCTTAGAGCTCTACTTATTTTTTAGAGAAATACATCTAGACATAATAACTTTAAATAAAGAAAATTCATTTTACATGTTACTTCCACTTTGAAATTACACGTGACTAGCATTAATGTGTGCTAGGGAAAATCTGCACTTTCAGAATGCCTCTTACTCCACACTCCTATCATTTTGCAGATATGCTGCCAATTGAATATAAATACAAGGTACCACAAATAAATCAAGTTATAATACAATGGTATTAAATGGAGGGGAAAGTTCCATGTGCACAGAAAAATTACACTTGGCCTGCTGACCTGGCTCACAGTTGGTTTATCAGGTGGGTCCTTGTGAATAACCATCTGGTAACGTTTATAGACCTGGTAAGACTCCTGAAATGTGGCTTTGAACTGAGAACTTGGTGGAGATGATCTCACCACCCTCACCTTCAGAAGGAGTTAAAAAACAATGTTCATTAATTAATTTATTCCACAGAATATGCAATAATAGTTACTCCCACCCAAAAAGAAATCAAAAGTTTCCATATTAAAGCACAGACATATAATATTTTAACATTAAAAATCAACAAGATAGTAATATATTTTTAAGTTATTTCTCCAACTTACAGACATATTAAAAAGGCAGAAAATCCTGTCTGAACTCTTAAGACAAAGACCTATGACTGAACTATGGAAGATGGACTCTATTGTAAAACAGCAGAATACTTCTGGCATTCAATACACAAACACAATTCTAGGTACATTCAACTCACCTTCAGTAAATCAGTCAGAAAAAAGTAAAAATGTGAATGTATTTTTAGACACTCTTCATGAATCACTGCTAACTCTAAACTTACAAATTTTTTTTATAAGTGTGAGAGACAACCCTCACAAAGTATTCCTATTTCATGGCAAAGTTAAGAATGAAGACTCTAAAGTTAGATTTCTTTTACCCAAATTTTCATGTCACCATCTTGGTCAAGCAAAGAAATTTACCTCCTTGTGCTCTAGTTTCCTCACACGTAAAATGAGGATGAATTAACAACAGTTTATTACACAGTAATGGTGAACATTTATTTTAACATCAATTATTTATACTAACCAGCTAAAATGTATTAGTAAAACAGAAGAGTAAAAGAAAAAATCAAATGCAATATAATAAAAACGCTAACTGGAAAATATTCACGTGTGCCATAAGAAGTCATTCTTTTGAAAAAACTGACATACAGTGGACAAAAAAAAAAAAATCTCTGCCCATCTGAGGGATCATTACATTAAAAAAGTAAAAGCTGCCCACTGTAGAACTGCTATGGGAGATGGGCCTGGTGTCCTGAACACATGATTAGTTATGATCAAAAGACAAAGGACTCTTCATTACATAAAGTAGTGTATTCAATTCTCTCTACAATTTGAGAAAGAGAAAGTCAATACCAAAATCAGAGCAGCAAAAACAAAAAAAAAAAAAAAACAAAAAAAAAAACAAAATCAGAGCAGCTAGTCAAAGTTGTTAAGACTTATGTCTATGTCTAGTAATATATATGATCCCAACGTTTAGATTGCATTAAGGTTAATTTTCAATATTAGGTCATTAGTGACACTTAGATAGTATTAACCTATAAATTCAAACAATGACCAGTTACTAATGAGATATGAGAATAAAATCATTAGCATTAATGTTTCAGAAAAAAATGTATAAATACCAAATACTCAAGAATGTAGACTTAATCTGGAATATAAATAAAAAATAATAAGAATACTCTAAAAGTAATCATACTATGCCTACATCTTTGAGATCATTATCGAGAGGATTAAAATACTATACCATAGTACTATTTAGTTAATTGCTAATTGCTGGCTCACTTATGTTTTTGTTTTTTTTTTATCATTTGTTGCCTTAATCAAGATCAGAATATTGGAATGGATAAAATAGTGATTTGCCTAGCATTATGTGTTCTACTTCACAATGTAACCAAAACTGGCAAAAATGAAATTTTAAATAGTATATTTTGTCACTTTAACTACTAAATTTCAATCAAGGGATACAAGAAGCCAGAGTCCCTTAAAAAGTAACATGCTAAAACTGGAATTAGTAGCCAAACCACCTAAAAGTATTTATTTTAAATCTTAAAAAGAAAAAAAAAAAGTTTTTCTCAAATAGCAGTTAGCTTACTAACTACAAATACTTCATCCCAATTCACTTTAATTTCCCATTATTTAAACAGCAAAACATCAATTTATATAACCTCAAATGAAAATAAACAAGGTACCAACAACAACAACAAAATAAAACACCCTCCAAAGTACCTCTAACTTGTGTGATGCATTCTCTGGTAAAGATTCAAAAATTAAATCTTCAAGTGATTTGGGCTGGTTGGATTTATTAGCCTTTGGTTGGAACAAAGATGGCGGTTCACCTTGAGCTTGGAAACCTGCTAGTTCTCCAGCTGGGTTTTGATGCATGAGTTTTAACCTTTTCCTTTCTTTCCGGATTTCCTTTGCTTTCCGACATGGAGGCTTACTCAAATCTGCCCTTTGCCTAAAAACAATTGCAAAATATTAGACCAATCACATTTCACTCTAGCAATTTTTTTTCTTCAAAAATCTCAAAGGTTCTATACAATTAAGTCCAAAGAGTTTCAATAGTTAAGTCAGCTTTGTAGATAGAGGTTTTGGGAGATTCTGGTGTAGAGCTATAAGTTAATCATAAAATTCTACCTCAGAAGCAGAAACTGTCAAAGAAAATAGTCACAGAAACTTTTCACACAGCTCCTACTCTGAAAATAAAAAAAAAATTAATATTCATCCACTTCTCTGCCTTTATAAGCTGAAAAAAAAAAAACTAAATATCTTCTACTTCAGGACACAGATAATTTTCAGCGCATTCTTGAGAGATATTTCTTTCAAAACACTGGTGACATAAATACATGATTAGGAGTAAATGAGTACTAACCCCGGAAAACACTTTGGCAGGTTTTTTGATGAAAAAATGCCCTCGCTTACTTTTAAGTATTTGTGTCTATCTAACCAAAAGGACTCATTTGTTCAGTTCCAGTTAATAAGAGTTTTGTTTGAATTAAAAGAGCAAATATCAAACTGAAGGCCTTTAAGATATAAAAATTTTAACTTCAATAAACCACAAATTTTAGTGCATGCCCTTTCACCTAGTAAGCATCTTCAAGGACTTGATGCTAAGATCATTAAAGGCTACAAGCAAATAATGAACACAAATGAAAACTTCAAAATAATTTAAATGCCCAATAGAATTATTATATACTTTTTAAAACAACTAAGCAGCAGAATATCAAATAGTCATTTGAAATTCTTAGAAGTTTTCAGAAATGTGTCATTACATAAGGTTAAAAAGTAATTCCACTTATGTATAAATAGATACATGGAAAATATTCAGAAAAAAGCCTGGAAAGAAACATACCACTCTGCTAACAGTCATTTTACACAGGTTTAGAAAGTAGAGAAAGGACTTTTCTTGCTCTTTTTCTTGCAATGTTCTCTTTTCTCCAAATTCTCTAACAATGAACATACTTTTGTAATTCTTTTAAGGTTATTAACAAAAAATGTTATTTTAACATCCTAAAACCGTATTTACAAATCACACGAAAGTCAGCAATATAAAGTTTTATAAGACTAAGTTCAATTTTATAGAAAAGAAAATCAAGACCCAGAGTATTGGAGTACCTGGGTGGCTCAGTGGTTGAGCATCTGCCTTTGGTTCAGGGCATGATCCTGGAGTCCTGGGATCGAGTCCCACATCGGGCTCCCTGTGTGGGGCCTGCTTCTCCCTCTGCCTGTGCCTCTGCCTCTCTGTGTCTCTCATGGATAAATAAATAAAATGTTTAGGGACACCTGGGTGGCTCAGCGGTTAAGCGTCTGCCTTCAGTCCAGGGTGTGACCCTGGAGTCCTGGGATCGAGTCCCACATTGGGCTCCCTGCATAGAGCCTGCTACTCTCTGCTTTATGTCTCTGCCTCTCTCTCTGCTCTCTCATGAATAAATAAAATCTTTAAAAAAATAAAATTAAAAAAAAGAATATCTAATGGATCAAAGAATTTAAGCACTGAGCTCTGATCCATGGCTATTAGCATTAACAAAGAGAGGTAACCCAGACATTATGTGTCTCCTTAAAGCACATTTCCACCACCCATGAAGTAAACTTACCTACCTTCAAATAAACAGTTTTCAAATCTGATTAAGACTTCTCTCTCAGACACCTGGGTGGCTCAGTGGTTGAGCATCTGCCTTCAGTTCAGGGCATGATCCCGCGTCTGGGGATCGGGTCCCACATCGGGCTCCCTATAAGAAGCCTGCTTCTCCCTCTGCCTATGTCTCTGCCTCTCTGTCTCTCATGAATAAATAAAAATCTTAAAAAAAAAAAAAAAAAAAAAGACTTCTCTCTCCCCGAAAAAGCAAAACAAAAACACCAAAAACAAAAACAAAAAAAAAAAACAATTTTGAATCTGATCTGATTTAATCTTGAATTTCTAGATCCAACTATCAATTTACAGGCCAGTACAGGAATATGTTAAACTGCACTGCAGATGTAATCAAATAACCCAGAACAGCCAACCTAGTTTCTTCAACAAATAAAGTGCAAATAAAAAGTGGAAGTGATGGACAGAACCTACAGACCTACAGAGATTTTCTCTGTCAACCAACTGCAATATGCATCTATGTTTGGATCCTGATACAAACAAATACTTAAATATTAGAAACTTAAACATGGAATATTCAGTAACATAAGGAATCTTACTTTGGTGTAATAGTGATATTGTGAATATGTATTTGAAAGTTTTTATTTTTATTTTGTTTTTTAAGATTTATTTTAGAGAGTGTGCGCATGAGCTCACAGATGTGAGTGGGGAAAGAGGAAGAGGAAGAAAATCTTAAGCAGACTTCTTGCTGAGCATGGAGCCCAAAGCAGGGCTTGATCTCATGACCTAATGTGATCATGACCTGGCCCCAAATCACGAGTGGGATGCTTAACCGAGCTACACAGGCATCCCCAAAGTTATTATCTTTTAGAGATGCATTCTGACATATGGAACAATATAGTGTCTGGAATTTGTTTCAATACAGCACTGGAGGGGGCAAGTGGATGATGAGTACAGATGAAACAACAGTTGCCCATAAGTCAGTAATAGTGTCACATGAGAGCAAGGTATGTGGAAGTTCATTCTGATACTGTCTACATTTCCAAAATTAAAAAATTTAAAACAAACTGTAAGTAATCTTATAACAATTAAAATAATAAAGAACTGACCTTATCACCCAAGAGAGTAAGCATTGAAAGAAATTATCTAAATCATATGGAACATTTTATTGGACTAGTCTTACTAATTAGAATGAAATCTCAGTTGGCATCCCTTTAAGTACCATGAAAATACCATTAAAAAAAACTATTCAAGGGACGCCTGCGTGGCTCAGCAGTTGAGCATCTGCCTTCGGCTCAGAGTGATTCCGGAGTCCCGGGATCGAGTCCCACACATCCGGCTCTTTGCATGGAGCTGCTTCTCCCTCTGCCTGTGTCTCTGCCTCTGTCATGAATGAATAAGTAAGAGCTTAAAAAAAAAAAAAAAAAAAAAACTATTCAAGCAAAATGCAAATAATATTTTCTGTATGTTAACATGATTTTGATAAGAAAAACTAAAATGGTAATAAAAATGTCTCCTTTGGATCATTTTGTATAAATAAGAAATTCAAGAACTGAAGCATAACCATCCAAACTGACATTTTATGAAATAATTTTTAAAAAAAATCATACAAGAACAGCTGGGGAGCTCAGTGGTTGAGCGTCTACTTCACCTCAGGGCATGATCCTGGGGTCCTGGGATCCAGTCCCACATCAGGTTCCCCACAGGGAGCCTGCTTCTCCATCTGCCTCTGCCTGTCTCTCTCATGAATAAATAAAATCTAAAAATTAATTAAAAAATTAAAAATCAGGGGCAGCCCCAGTGACTCAGCGGTTCGGTGCTGCCTTCAGCCCAGGGAGGGATCCTGGGGACCCAGGATGGAGTCTCGCGTCGGGCTCCCTGCATGGAGCCTGCTTCTCCCTCTGCCTGTGTCTCTGCCTCTCTCTCTCGTCTGTGTCTCTCATTAATAAATAAAATCTTGGGATCCCTGGGTGGCGCAGCGGTTTAGCGTCTGCCTTTGGGCCAGGGCGCGATCCTGGAGACCCGGAATCGAATCCCACGTCGGGCCCCCGGTGCATGGAGCCTGCTTCTCCTCTGCCCCCCTCCCTCCCCCTCTCTATCATAAATAAAAATTTAAAAATAAATAAATAAATAAAATCTTAAAAAAAAAAATCAGACACTTAACCACCAAATGAGTCACCCAGGTGCCCTAATGTTTGATACATTTTTTAAAACCTAATTCTTTTATAAGTGAAAATGTAGGGGAAAAAAATTTAGCTTAATAAAGGTGAAGCTAAACATCAAAATCTGGAAATGTTTAAACTAAAAATTCATTATGATTACAAAAAGAAATCTAATGATAAACTAAAGAACTTTACAATGTCTGTACTTTGAACATAATACCTAAGATTTACTTTGCCTCACTTCACACCAAAAATAAAAATGTCTAGCATTACATTTTTTCACAGATAAAAATTTGATCCTCAAAGTTCCAGGGTCCTAAGGTAGTAAGAAGAAATGGAACTCTTTTAAAATACCTGTATTTAGGGATAACAAAACTATTATTATTTCAGGATTTTTAAACATAACAGTTTTTAAAAGACATGATCTATCCATCTAAATTCAAGTAACAATAAATTCTAAAAATATGGATCTATTTTGCAATTTCACATAATTCGTGTTTTTAGCTGATAGGAGCCCAGGGGCTACAAAGTCTCAAGCACAAAGAAAATCACTTACCAGGACTTTAAAATGGCTGCAAAGCAAACTTGCCCTACCTGGCTTAGGAGCTGTGTGCACTTTAACTGGATGGGATGGTTCACCAGAGCCCAACTTCTCCTCTATATGTTGTGACTGAATTAATTCCTTAGATTCTTCTTTTTTGGGGCTTCTTCCTTTCTTCTTCTCTTCACTCTCAAAGCTCTCTTTGACGTCATCACTGAGTGTTTTAAGGTCACACCGTATATCCAATTTATTTATCAACCCAAAGTCACCTGCAACGGTGTCCTCCATGGTGGGCTCCATGGGCTCATCTACAAATCAGAAGAAATCAAAGTCCATCAGCCAGGCCATCTGACACAGAAACGATAAACATGGGGGGTGGGGGGAGTCCCCTTTTATCCCCATGTGGGAGAGACTATGTGTGTGCATCAAATCCATTCTCCTGGCTTCCAAAGTAATAGACCTGTAGTTAAGACTGTAGTGCTCAAGCAGGGATGTGCACCACCAGTCCCTCTGCAAGTTTTAAGCAAGCCCCCACCAATGGAACATAACCAAATTGATATGTCCAATTAGGCCTTGCTTGTTTTTAACGGAATTTTGTAACCCTGAACTTCCATTCTTTACCCTCCCCACTGGCTAGATTAGTAAAAACCAGAGTGACCTTGGAAATCACACGTTGAAGGAAGTCCCAGAAAGGATGGGGATGGGGTGGGGAACAGAGTTGCAAGCTAACATCGAGTACCCATGCTAGACTGTTCTATGAGGAAAGAAACAGACTTCTATCATTTTTTAGTCATTGCATTTGGATGTCTTTTTGTTATAGCTGTTTACCCTGACACTTTTACATCACTCTTATGAATTAAGATGTAGACATAAATAATTTAGAAGTCAAGCTCATCCTTCACAGTGACTGTGCAATCCTGTGTAAAGTGCACTGAAGCATCTGTTTCTCAGACATAATACCATTTTCCATTTACTTCACGAGGTACTGTGAGGATCAAGTAAGGTAAGAGTTGTCAAAGCACTGTGAAGACTAAAGTTCCAATAAACTCAAGACATCACATCTTTAAAACTGTCCTCCATCTTCTTCTGAGGCTGGACTTTCTTTTCCTGACAGACATTCCTTGTATCCTGGACTTTCTGGCTAGTGCTGACAGTCACAGAAGCACTAACAGCAATCCCCACCACCAGAGTAACAGTACAACCTGACTGTAGTTAAGGACCCATTCCCCTACTTAAGAAATAACCAAAAGTGAGACCCTTGGAAACCTACATCATTTTAAAGTAAAGAGCTTTTAGACCCCCAACTCATCTTACCCTCACAATTTCCTTTGGAAATTTCCCCTTTAGCCAGAAATTTCAACATTTTTTTCAAAACCTTCTTGTGAGATTTTGATGGCTGAAACTGTAAAGGTCGGCACCTAGGAAAGCAAAATAAATATTTAAAAAGTGAACTTAAACTAGAAGAAATAAAATGAATTCTGGACAGTATCTAGTACAGTGAGGCAAAACTCATGCCTGGGATTTCCAGTTAAAGACAGGGCTTGATTTCACCTCTAGTTCCACTCCAAATCTCACTACAACTACATTAAGGAATCAAAAAAAGAAAAAGACATAAATCCCTGAGAAAAATAGAATAGGGGAAATGTTGGATGCTGGACAGCACATTACAAGTGGTAACTGACAGCAGACGAAAGAATGTTGACTCCTGAGCCAACAGTGGAAAAAGTCAGCAAGATAACCAATTTTCTCTACATTCTCTCTCTACAAGTCTTAGGGATTGGTTGATACCTGATACCTCAGGAGATATGAGTGAAGGTGAGTCTAAAAATATAAAGATCTCTTGAAATCTGTTTTCGAAGCAGTCAGATGTCTGAGGCCCTTCACCACTCTACCCAGATGACTCCCTACATGGCCCAGGGGAAAGCTGCACATTTAGGAAAGAGTAAAAAATAGGGCCTCCTACATAAGGAGGCAGGCACAGTGGAAAACAATGGAAATGTACCAGAAACAGGAAGCTTAAATTAAAATCTATGTACTGAACCATGAGATCTCCAACCCATTTCCCAACCCAGCTGCAAACACCAGCACTTTCTCACCAGAATGTGATCAGACCTGAAGACCAGTCTGACCTCAGGAACTCCACAATGGGAAATCAGAATTCCTGGACACTCAAGGAGAACCTCTACAAAGATAAGTGCCAAAAATACTGGAAAAGGTAACTTGGAGAATATACAGCAAGACGACAGCCTAAAAAAATACAAATATTCTAGGAAGAACACACTCCTGTTTCTCTTTAGCTATTACAACCACATAATGAAAGGTTATCGAAAAAGAGTCCAAAACCAAAAATTTCTCAGAAGTAAAAACTTAGGGACACTTGGGTAGTTCAGTAGTTGAACGTCTACCTTTGGCTCAGGGTGTGATGCCAGGGTCCTGGGATCGAGTCCTGCAACAGGCTCCCCACAGAGAGCCTGCTTCTCCCTCTGCCTGTGTCTCTGCCTCTGTGCCTCTCATAAATAAAAATCTTTATAAAAAAACACTATTAAATAAAAGGAGTAAAAATATAATAGGATAAAAAATTAAACAGAAGACTTGGAAATTCAACTTGAGGAAATCTCCCAAAAGATACAGCAAAAGGAATGGAAAACTGAAGAGAAAAAAAGTTCAACTGAAGACATTATTAAAGAATAAAGAAAAGAAAACGGGAAGATCAACAAAATAATAAAAGAAAACTGTGAAGGATATGATAAGGAGGCCCAGGTAAGAAGGACCCCTTAAATCTGTACACAATGAATGTAGACAGACACACCACCAGATGTGAAATATCAGAACCCTGAGGACAAACAATCCTTCAAAAAAACTTTTTGGACGAAGGAACAAGAATTAGAAGCAAAGCCTTCGAAATTCTAAAGCAAAATTATTTCCAATCTACACTTCTATGTATAGCCCAGCCAAACTAAAAGTTTGAGGGGTGAATTAAAACATTTTCAAACAAGGACACCTGGGTGGTTCAGGGGGACGAGCATCTGACTCTTGGTTTGGGCCCAAGTCATCATCTCAGAGTCACAATCTCAGGGTTGTGAGATGGAGCCCAGAGTTGGGGTCCATGCTGAGCACAAAGCCTGCTTGGGATCCTCTCTCTCCCTCTCCCTCTGCCCCCACTTGCACACTCACTCTTAAAAAAAAATTCAAAGTCTAAGAAAAGTACTTCTTGTATACTTTTTCTCAAGAAAGCTATTAAAAGATGAGCTTCACTAAAATGAGGAAATAATCCAAGAAAGGTCAGAGGAGACATGGGATCCAAAGAGAATCCCCAAGGGATGCTTGGGTGGTTCAGTGGTTGAGCATCTTCCTTCAGCTCAGGGTGTGATCCCAGGGTCCTGGGATCAAGGCCCATATCAAGCTTCCTCTGCATAGCCTGCTTCTCTCTCTGCCTATGTCTCTGCCCCTCTCTGTGTGTGTCTCTCATGAATAAATAAATAAAAATCTTAAAAAAAAATAACCCACAAAAAATACAAAAAAAACAAAGAGACTCCCCAAGATGGCAGTAAGAAAAGATCCTGAGGGGGATCCCTGGGTGGCGCAGTGGTTTGGCGCCTGCCTTTGGCCCAGGGCGCGATCCTGGAGACCCGGGATCGAGTCCCACGTCGGGCTCCCGGTGCATGGAGCCTGCTTCTCCCTTTGCCTGTGTCTCTGCTCTCTCTCTCTCTGTGTCTATCATATATAAATAAATCTTAAAAATAAAAAAAAATAAAAAAATAAAACCTTTAAAAAAAAAAAGAAGATCCTGAGGTGACAGTGATGTATTAGTTGGAGAGACAACCTGTCCAGATCACAGCAGGTCAGAAGACATCACAGAAATATTCAAGAGGACAGAAGTGATAGAGCACCAGAAACATCTATATATACCATGAGGAAATTTATACAACTGTAGGAGGATTTCTAAAATCACCTGGTAATGAGTACAGCAAACTATACTAAGCAAACAATTATCAACTCCGTGGAAAGCAAAAATTTGTGAAGAAAAGAAAAAGCATTCATAGTACACACCTTAACTGTACAGCATATTTATAGGTCATAATACAGCAACTACACCCATCCAAAATTACAATACTTCTGAGCTGGAAAGTTGGCAATGAGGACAAAAAGGAGTTTGAATGTCACAGGGCATCAGGAATGAAATAAAGTAAATCCTTATTTTTCAAAGACAGTAATCCAGAGATAATGAGAAAAAAATTAAGTTAAATCCTTACCTTTTAAAGAGAGAAACCCATAGAAAATTTTTAAAAACCCCAAAAGAAGATAATTTGACATAAGCATATCACTCAAAGGTAGAAAGAAGAAAAAATTTAAAAATCAGTTAAAAAATTTGAGAGTGACTGTACTGAGAGGAATTCGGGATGTTCAGAGGACTACAGTTTTGCATAATAAGCTTTATGGAATTGATAATTACTAGCATATATAATTCTATACAAAAACTAGAAAAAAAAATTCATAGCCAAGGAAGCTCATCCTCATTTACACTCACATACTGCGCAGTCCCTAACATCTGTCTAATAAGCTACGTTGTATATTATAATCGCTTGCCTTCATATTAGGTCTCATTATAACTACTGTAGTAAAAAGGCTGCATACTGTAGTATGCAAAATGACTCTATAATATCAATGCATATAATGAAGTTGTGTAAAGGATAACAATTCAGGATATGTTTGATTTCATGCAAAAAAAAAAAAAAAATCACATTTCAGGGCAGGCTGGATGGCTCCGTGGTTTAGCGCCTGCCTTCAGCCCAGGGCGGGATCCTGGAGACCTGGGATGGAGTCCCACATTGGGCTCCCTGCATGGAGCCTGCTTCTCCCTCTGCCTGTGTCTCTGCCCCTCTGCCCCCCCCCCTCTCTCTCTCTCGGTCTCTCAATAAATAAATGAAATCTTAAAAAAAAAAAGTATTATCTACATATTTAAAAAAGTAACATTTTATAATTATTTTGTTTTGCAAAGTTAACAGAATCCCTTTCGTGAAAGCAATATACCCAGAACAGTGCTTTGCATCGAGAGGCACCCAATAAATTATAGAGGGTTGGTCTTTTTCTTTAACCCACTGAAACTGACCCTTTTTTTTTTTTTTTTTTGACCTTTTCTGATTAGAGATTCTCAGGGTCCTAGCAAATCAGTCTCAGACTTAAACAGAAACCTGGCCATAATCCAATAATAAATTGTTATTTGAAGGAAAATGACTTCTGCCTTTGACGATGTCACTGCTTCATAACCACTAAAACTGCAAGAGGACAGCACGGCTGTCTCAATATAACAAGTGAGATGTTAGTAAACCACACACCCATCTTTCCTCTTTACTGTTCAGTTCTATGACCAGTTAGAGAAGAGAAAGGATTCTTAACCAGGAATCAATGGAACTCTGACAGCCTATTGGGAACCCACGATGATCCTAAAATTAATACACAAAATGTTAGATATTTTTGCCTATCTGCTCCCTTCCTTTTGTTTTGTTTTGCTGCAGAAAGGGTCTGTAACCTTTCATCAGATTGTCAAAAGTCTTCAACCCCCAAACAAATCAAGAGCAACTATGGGAAAGAGGTGTGAGAAGCAGCCAAACTGTGATGGCTACAATGGTGTCTGCTTTTCCATTGAGAGAATATATTCACATTGAAACTGTAGACAAATGCTTAACAAGGATAACATACTTTTCCCTAGTTTCTACCAGAAGAAGAAGAAGACAAGACAACAAGAGAAAAGAAGATCTTCAAAATCTGAGGGAAAATCCTTCCATGTTATGCTGGGGTTTGCTGGTTAAGCACATACTTTGTAAGAAAACAGACTTTTTCATTTAAGTTCTCCAGAGAAGAAAACTGCACTCTGAATATATGTGGCAGATTAAACGTCAGTCCTCCTCCTCTTTCTACAGGCCCTATAGTACTATTTGAATGCAAGCACTGTGTTCAGCGTGCAAATCCCCAAGCTAATAATATAAAAACACTTGATACCTAAAAGCAACTTGAGTATTTTTCTAATATTTCAGTATCATACTATCGACTAGATCGCCAAATAGTACTTTTTCATATCCTATTTACACCCAAACCATTAAACAGTATTATTCTAAGATATTGAGGATGTATAAATGTAGCATCAGTATGTAAAAAAGATACAACCCCTTTGCTTTTATCAAGAATGTACAGCTAGAATGAAAATTAACATGTAAAAAAAGATGTCACTAAAGAATTATACATACTCTTTGTATTATACATAGATTCTCTCTTACCTTATTGTGTATTGAGGACAACATGTTTGATTCATGACAGGCTTGTACACATATTTCCCGCTTCTAAAATTAAAAAGTAATTTTGTTAATGTCTTACACATTTAGCACATATACCAAAGTAGACTAGTACAGGTGCACAAAATTAAAAATCTAATCAATAATGTAAAAACATTTAAATTCATTCTTCATAACCTAAATAATCTTGCAACATAGGCATACCATGGACAGAGTCTAGCCTTTTCTTTCCTAAATCTTGACATACGTACTCCAAATTTCTTCACCTCAGACACCCTCTCAGCAGTACCTGCAATCCTTCCAATACCAACCCACCTCCAATCCTCAATACCATAGAGGCAGTCAGAGGAAACTGATCAGTTGTTGTGACACCAATATCCACACATGAGGGTTCCATGTGCACTAACACAAGGTAGCCCAAAATTTGTATTTTAAAGCCCTAACCCCTAGTACCTCAGAATGGGACTGTATTTAGAAATAAAACCTTTAAAGAGGTGATCAAGTTAAAATGACAGTTAAAAGGAGCCCTAACCCAATCTGAATGCTGTACGTATAAGAAAAGGAAACTGGGAGCATCTGGGGGTTGAGTCAGTTAAGCATGTGCCTTCAGCTTAGGTCATGATCCTGGGGTACTAGGATTGAGCCCTACAATGGGCTCCCTGCTGAGCAGGGATTCTGCTTCTCCCTCTGCCTCTCGCCCCCCCCCCCCAATCGTGCTCTCTCTCAAATAATGTTAAAAAAAAAAAAAAAAAGGAAAGGAAACTGGACAAAGAGACAGTAGGCACTAGGGATACATACACACAAAGAGAAAGGACTACGAAGCCACAGCAAAAAGGCAGCAGTAATGTACAAGTCAAGGAAAGGCCTTCAGAAAAAAAAGCTGAAGACACCAGGTTTTTGGGAATTTCAGCCTTCAGTACTGAGAACAGATACCTGCTGTTCAAGATACCCAGTCGCTGGTATTTTGTTATGGCTGCCCAAGCAAACATACATGAACTTGGTTCCCAAGCCAGAAACATGGGAATCATCTCAGATTCCTCCCTCTAAAACAGTTAGCAAACTTTTTACTTCTAAAATATACCTTAAAACTGTCCCCTCCTACTTATCTTCTAACCTACAGCCACCAATGATGACAGCATCATCATGAGATGACCATCTCACGTCCAGATCCTGCCATGACCCCTGGAACAAGTCTTCCTGCCTTCTCAATAACCCCCTCAAGTACCTCTCTGCTATCTGAACAATTCACTTCCAAAACACAAATTCCATCACACTTTTGATGTAAAAGTTTTCAATGGCTCCCTTCTGCCTTAAAAAAAAAAAGTTCAGGGCAGCCCTGGTGGCACAGCGGTTTAGCGCCGCCTGCAGCCTAGGGCGTGATCCTGGAGACCCTGGATCGAGTCCCACGTCAGGCTCCCAGTGCATGGAGCCTGCTTCTCCCTCTGCCTGTGTCTCTGCCTCTGCCTCCCTCTCTCTCTCTCTCTCTCTCTCTCTCTCTCTCTCTCTCTCTGTGTGTGTGTGTGTGTGTGTGTGTGTCTCTATGAATAAATAAAATCTTTAAAAAAAAAGTTCATCATGACATACAAAATCCTTTAACATCTCACCTAGATCTACCTTTCAGGCCTCATTATTAGGTTTAAGAAAGGTATGAAGTTTCATTTGCTGTACTGAATCCCAAGTCTCTTGGGGAGTATTGGCACAGGGCACTTAACACTGTTCATATTTACATAAGGAACCTTATATACTCTAAAATCGTCTAAAAGCAATTACCAAAAAAATCTTCGCCAAAGGCAATGTGTGGGCCTCAATGGAATCCTGATTCAAATAAACCAATTACAAAAAAAAAAAAAAAAAAAAAAGACATTTCTGAGACAAGCAAAAAACCAAGTCAAACTAAGTAATAGATGACATCAAAAAATTATTTTGTAAAGTATGGTAATAGTATTGTAGATGCGTTAAAAAGGAAAAAAGAATGTTCCTTAGAGACATATATTTATCATAGGCATACAAATAGAATACCTGAAATTGCTTTATTTTGTGGGGGTGGAGGGAACATCTTAGTCTGTTAGAGCTGCTCTAACAATATGACACAGACTGAGTGGCTTCTAAACAACATAACTGTATTCCTCACAGTTCTAGAGGCTGGAAAGTCCAAGATCCAGGTGCTGGCACACCTAATGTCTGATGAAGACAAGCGTCCTAGCTCATATTTCTATTGTAACCTCACATGGCAGAAGGGGCAAGGGAGCTCTCCAGGGTCTCTTTTATAAGGGCATTAATTCCATTTGTTTAGAATCTACCCTCTGACCTAATCACCTCCCACAGGCCCACCTCCAAATACTATCAAATTAAGATTGAACATATGTACCCGGGGGAAGGGGTAAGAATGACACACAAACATTCACTCCATTGCACGGAGCAAGGAGAATTGATGAAACAAGACTGGCAAAATGCTAACAACTGCTGAAGCCTACTGATAGGTACATGAGGTTCCTTATACTGTGCTCTGTACATTTATGTATATTTGAAGTTCTCCTAATAAACATCTTTAAAAAGAATCACTGCATGAAGAAATATAATAAAAAATTTCTTAAACATCTTTCCAAAAACAGGAAAAATTTTAAAGCAAACAATATGTTGCAATTTTCTAAAGAACCTGAGTAACAAGAGCAGTATCTTTGTATTAAAGAGCTTTACCTTCGCCATCCTCGATCTATAAGATCCTGATAATCCTGTACTGTCATTGAATGCGCCCACATGCCTGAAAAAAAATAAGTGCCATGTGCCATTTTAATTATAGCAGGTTGCATTTTTTTAATTCAAAGCATTCTTTAAACCAAAAAAAAAAAAATCTAGTTCACACTGGGGAAATGAAAGTTTGCACATACTTCCTGTTTGACCTGTAACACAAATGAAAAAGAGATTGGTCTTAATTTTAAAAATCAAATGCAGCAAAGTGATCATATTTAATTAAGAATTAGCCAATAGTCTCGATGACATCATACACTTAAGGTCCTTACTGTGATCAGATTACATCATACTTCCAAGCCTTAATAATATCCCTAATAATTTAATAACCTGGTCTCTTAAGTGAAAAGCAAATAATTTCTTATGCATATAAACTTCCCTGATTTTTAGGTTTTTAACATAGTCCTGGATATTGAAAATAAAGCAAAAGCATACAGCAACATTCCTTTTGTGTATAAAAACTGAAAGTAGGGGATCCCTGGGTGGCGCAGCGGTTTAGCGCCTGCCTTTGGCCCAGGGCGCGATCCTGGAGACCTGGGATCGAATCCCACGTCGGGCTCCCTGCATGGAGCCTGCTTCTCCCTCTGCCTGTGTCTCTGCGCCTCTCTCTCTCTCTCTCTCTCTGTGACTATCATTAAAAAAAAAAAAAAAAAACTGAAAGTAATCGAGATGCCCAGGAACAGAACAGTGATTACAAGAACTATGATTTTATCAATATGATGGAATAATTATACAATCATGAAAAAAATGAAGACTATCAGAAAAACATTAAAAGGCAGACTGAATTAATTTAAAAGTAAATTTTTCTCTTATAAACAGCACACTGCATCACAGGTAGGTAGACACAGGTAGGCTTGACTCTGTATTCAGAAACAGAAATATCCAGAAGCCTGGCAGGCACTCATTAACAGGGAGTTATTTTATGAGCCTCAAATTCACCTACAAAATAGGAATAATAAAACCTACGTACCTAATAGGTGGGTTGCCCTATGGCAAAGATGATCAGAATCAAAATAAATATAATGGAAATTTACAGTTCTCTCTTTAGGTGCAAAGGGAGAAAGCAGATTTCTGCCAAGGGACTCTAAACAAAGGACATCTATGTTAATTTCCTCTTACCAAAATTACTAGAAAACTAAGGATCTATGAAAATATTCATTGCGGATACCTTTAATAGAAAGTGATTACATACACACTGTAGCCATAATATTAAAATTCTGAAAAAAAAAAAAAAAGAAGGTATCCCTAACACCCTAAGGCAACCACTGCCACCATTTGCTGTGTTTCTCCTGGGTCTTTAACCTTCCAGGACTGTCACACACACACGTGTCATTTGCCTGTTTTCCTCCGTTTAACCCTACAGCGCTAAACATTTTCCTGCTCAGCTGATCTTCATAACCATCACTCCTAAGGGCTGTTGTATCATCACATTCTGCAACCTCTTACCCACAAGCACCTAAATGAGCAATTTCCATTCGTGAGTAAAGGGGCCCTACCCTCCCTAATCGTCCAAATCATTTTCTTGTAAAGCTACCTAAATTTACATCTACATGGTTATCCCGTTGTCCACCAAGCTGGACTCCTTTCTTGAAAGATTTTTGGGTGTCAATGCGTGACACGGCAGGAAACGAACGCCAACGTTTTGCTTACAAACAAATCTTCCCAAAGAAACCTGAGCCACGATGGGAGGAAGGGGAGAAATAAAAAATAAAAAAAAAATAAAAAAAGTCGCCTGGGCGCTAGCTTTGTCGTCCTTCTGGAGGCGGGTGGAGGAATGACAAGGCAGAGAAGCACCTGGTAAATTTTTCTAAGACTTTAGTACAAGCAGGCGCCCTCGCCAGCAGCGCCTGCGGTCGGTCCCCAGCGTCTTGCATACTCCTCCACGGACATTTTATCCAGGTGTCCGTGCCCCAAGGATGCACACACGCCTATCTGCACACAAACAGCCCACCGGACACGCCGCCTTCTGCACCTGCGATGGGGGACCAGGCCCCAGCAGCAGCAGCAGGAGCAGCAGCAGCAGCAGCATCCAGCGGCCCGGCCCCGCCCGGCCCGGCGGAACTGACCGCACCACGGGGCTGCTGTCACGTATCGACCCCCCTACGGACTGATGACCGGCACCTGTTTCCACACCTGGGGCCACGGCGGGACCATCATTATCGCGCATCCGAGCACCTGCTGGAAGGATAAGCCTCTGGACGGGAACCTGATTAATCAGAGCCGGGGTTCGTTTTAATGGACAGCCACGGCCCGAAGCCAGCGAGCCGCGGGCCGCACCCCCTCCTCGGGACGCTCCAGCGGCCGCGCGGGGCAGCGCGGGGCAGCGCGGGGCAGCCCGGGGCGCCGCTCCTCCCTCCCCCCGCCGGCTGCGGAGCCCCCCGAGGCCGCGACGCCCTCCCCCGCCCGCCGGCCCGCTCACCATTGGAGCGACTGCCCGACTCGTTCTTGCAATAGCCGCAGCGGTAGGAGTCCTCGCCCTCGAAATACTCCACGATGCTGGGCGAAAGGGCGGCCCAGGAAGCCATGGTCGCGGCCCTCCAAACGCGACGCGACCTGACCCGTCCCCGCCGCCGCCGCCGCCGCCACCCCACAATGCTCCGCGCCGCCCGGGAGTCTCCGAGGCGCGCGCGAAGCCGCTCGGGCGCCCGCCGGCCGGGTTCGCCGCGAGCTCCCCGCACGCTGACGCCGCCCGCGCCATCTTGACCGAGGGCAGCCTTCGCTATTTCCGTCCCTTCTCCGACCCGGACCGCCATCTTCGGTGAGGGTGAGGGGGGAGAGAGGAGCGTGCAGGGAAGCAGTCTGGTTAGAGACGCGTGGGAGAGGGGCGCGGGAGTTTGGGGTGCCCGGCCTGTGCGCTCCCAGGCCGGAGGCCGGCGCGGCGCCGGGGGGGGGGGGGGGGGGAAGGCGGGGGCGCGGGGGCCGACGCCAGGTGGCAGCGCCAGCCCGGCCCGCGGGGACACTCACCGCAGGACACCTTGCCCTCCTCGGAGTCGCAGTAGCCGCAGCGGTAGCCGGCCTTGAGCCCCTTGTACTCCACCACGGAGGCCATGGCCGCCTCCAGGGTCCGCCGGGGCCGGCCACGCCTCTCGGCGCCCCGGGGCCGACCTCGGCGGAGCGCGGGGGCCCGCGGCGGGGAGGAGAGGCGGCCGAGGAGGCCGGGGCCTGGCGGGGCCGTCCCAGCGCCCCGGCCCGCGCCCCTCGGGGCCGGCCCCGCCGCGGCTGCCCGAGGCGTTAGCAGCGGCGGTGGCTGGGCCCCGGGCCCCGGGTCGGGCCAGACCTCCGCATGAGGCCCCGCCTGTGCCTCGCCGCGAGTTCTGCAAGCGCTCCCGGCCAAGCGCCTGTTTTACAGACGCGGAAACTGAGGCACGGAGGTGGTGACTCAGTGACCTCCTGCGGGTGTCCGCGTAGAAGTTAGCACCGCGGGCCGGCCCGGGCCCCCGTGTGCGTAGCCGACTCCGGCTTCCAAACCAGCACGTCCACTCTTAGTGCGTATACGGGTAGCCCTGCAGGCGTTACGGGTTCCCCTCCCCATGTTACAGGTACCGCTGCAGGTGTTACAGGTACCGCTGCAGGTGTTACAGGTACCCCTGCCCGTGTTACAGGTTCTGCAGGTGTTACGGGTTCCCCTGCACGTACCCCTGCCCGTGTTACAGGTACTCCCGCAGGTGTTACAGGTACCGCTGCAGGTGTTACGGGTTCCCCTGCAGGTGTTCTGTGAGTGGCTGGCCTTGGTGAACTGAACAAACAGCTGTCAGAGCTAGTGGCTGCCTACTATTGCCACCACATCCTAGAACTTTGAAGGAGAAGCTGAAAATCTTGATTTGTTTGTTTTAGTTTTAATGCAGAATATTTTAAATGTTACTTTTAAAGATTGTGGAGTTCTTGTCTCTGTGCGTGTGTGTTTAATTGTACAGGCCAAACAAACCACTTATGTAGGTTGAATTCAGCCCGTGGACTTCCCAATTTGCAACCCCTGTATTAAAGAGGGATTCTTTTTTTTTTTTTAAAGGAGTGACAGGAGCAAAGTATGAAAATGAGTATTTCCAACAAGGTCATATTCTTTAATCTTTAGGTGCGTAGGTAATTTAGGCTTGTCCGTCTTTTATTTTTCCTGGTCAACCATAAAGCTGATTATCTTTTTTAAGATTTTATTTATTTGTTCATGAGAGACACACACAGAGAGAGGTAGAGACACAGGCAGAGGGAGAAGCAGGCTCCCTGTGGGGAGCCCAATGTGGGACTCAATCCTGGGATCAGGCCCTGGGCTGAAGGCAGATGCTAAACTGCTGAGCCACCCTGGCTGCCCAAAGCCGATTATCTTTTTTGCAGTGTTTTGGAAAGTGAGATTATGACATTTGGAAAACAGGTAGATTTCTGAGATCAGTTTCAACATTCCTGACCCCAAGGTCCACTATGTTGGATACATGCCTGCTTAAGTTGAGGTTTCTTGGTAGCCACATGACCTGTTCTTTTTTTTTTTTTTTTTTTTTGAGATTTTATTTATTCATGAGAGACACACAGAGACAGGGAGAGAGAGAGAAGCAGGCGCCATGCAGGGAGCCCAGCGTGGGACTCGATCCTAGGTCTCCAAACTGCTGAGCCACCCAGGCTGCCCTGCGTGACCTGTTCTATTACTAAGCATCACTTGTGCCTCACTGGGGAAAAAACCCCTAAGAAATAGCTGTGTAGCATATAGGAGGTTCTCCGGGCCCCTCTAGGTTTCTCCAGTTCCTCCTTCAACTTGAAGGTTCCTTGCTACATATCAGTACCCATTAAGACAGACTTCATTCATTTTGTCCATTATGGCAGATTTGAATATTCCCAATCCTCTCCCATACAGGCTCTCATTTTGGAGGAAAGTAAAGGTCTGAATGGGATGAAAAGAAGACAGCAGGTGCCATGCTCAAACAAAGTAGGAGGCCAGGAGGCTTTTTGTTTTTCTTATAGTCCTGTACCAATTCACTTCTGTCCCTTTGTCCCAACCTTATCCCAAGCATTAGACCAACCTCTGCCAGGAAATGCCAACCTTGGGCTACAATGCCAATGTCCTAGGCATATGCTAACTCACTTAATCCTTACATTTGCTTAACAACATAGGAAATGGAGACCAGAGAGGCTAAATAATCTGCTTAAGATCACACAACTAGAAAGAGATGTAAGGGCAGGGAGAGACCAAAGGTAGAGGCAGGCCACTCTCAAGGTGGTAGGTGGCAGAATTTTTTTAAGATTTATTTATGAATGAGTGAGAGCGAGCATGCACAAACAAGGAAGGGACAGAGGGAGAGAAGGAGAGAATATCCAAGCAAATTCCCACTGAGTGTGGAGCCTGATGTGGGGCTTTATCTCACAGGTCATTAAATAAGGACCTGAGTCAAAACCAAGAGTCGGATGTTTAACTGACTGAGCCACCAAGGCGCCCCGGTCCGTGGCAGTCTTAATAAGCAAAGGGAACTTACATAGGAGGCTTGACTTGGGCAGCAACAAGACGAATGGATCCCCACACCCACCGCACGAGCCATGGCTATTAAGCACCTAAATCTTCAAAGTTTGTATAGAGAGAGGCCTTAACTGGGTTCAGTCAAGTGTACTGTGCAGGCATTCTCAATGTCACATCATTATCTCAAGGCAGCGCCCTTGCAGCAACCTCTGGGAATGCAAAAAGCAAGTGGGACCCACATTCTACAGATGGGGGAGGAGGCGAGGAGGCTCTGATCACCTGGGTCCAGCTCATGGGTCAACTTGTGGTCATGTCTTTTTGATTACCTTCCACAGCAGAGGGAGAAAGGTGATAAAAATAAAATTCTGGAAAAGAGGTCAACAAAGACTATATGGCAGTGGTTCCTAGATGTCATTATTTTGCTTAAAGTTAGTGACTAAGTTTTCATCTTCCAGGCCTAAATAAAAATTAAGCAAAGCTTCAGTTTCCCCCTTTTTGTGGACAGACATGGGAAGAGGATATTGTTGGAATATTATTTTATTCATAAAATTGCTAGCATCAGGTAGTGTTTACTTTTAATTTTCTTACCTAATGACATGCTGCAACACTAGCATGTTTGGACCTGTTAACATTTTTTCTTTTTTTTTTTTTTCCATTTTTTTATCACTGTGATAATAGGTCTGCAGAGCATAAGAGTGAAGCTCAGTATAAGGCCCTGATGATGTGAAAGGATCTGGATGGGATAGGCCCAATTCATGTTCCTTAAACTAAAGGGAATGACATGAAACACATTCCTCTTTCTTCCGGGGGGGAAAAAAAAAAAAGTATGTGAGTAGATGGGACCTAAGTTGAGTCAGGGAAAAATGAGTAAAATACAGATAACCTGAGGCAGAGAAGAGAAGCAGAGCACTCTAGGAAGGAGGTGTGGGGTTGGGTGGAGGATGGGGTAACTGAGTGATCAGCACTAAGGAGGGCGCTTGTTGGGATGAGCACTGGGTGTTAGACTATATGTTGGCAAATTGAATTTGTTTATTTTTCTTTAATGGAGGCATGGTGTGAGCAGAGACAGGCAGGCAAATAGGAACACCAGGGGTCTCAAATGCTGGTGACGTTGGAGCTCTTGAAGATGTTTTCCTCTGTGGGCTATTCACGGCCCAGAAGCCTCAGATTGGACCTTTCCCTCCATTATGTAGATGTGGGCTCTCCAATTGGTAGTGTAAAAATTAACCAAAGAAACCTCATTTAGAATGCGGGTGGAGAAGCTATCGTGCCCAACCCTACTTACCAGACCCAAAAGACAGAAACATCTTGCAGGGTGGATACTGTTTTACTACCCAGTAAGAAGAAAGTTCTTCCTCTTCCCCTGGCAACAACCCAGCCAATGAAAAGCTATTCTACATCAAAACTCCAATGGAAGGACGCCTGGGTGCCTCAGTGGTTGGATGTCTGCCTTTGGCTCAGGGCATGATCCTGGAATTCCAGGATTGAGTCCCACATCGGGCTCCCCACATGGAGCCTGCTTCTCCCTCTGCCTGTGTCTCTGCCTCTCTCTGGGTCTCATGAATAAGTAAATAAAATTTTTAAAAAAATTTTTTCTGTTTTCTGGACTAGCCTGTAGTTTTGCTGTGGCTGGCTTCCCTCAGATTGCAGTTCTAGGCTATCCCCAAATAAACCCGTTTTTGCTAGTAAAATAACTGACAGTTTTATTTTTAACAGGAACTAAACATTCATGGCTAATGAGCACCTAAGATGTGGCTAGTGTAGCAAGGGAACTGAGCTTTTTATTTTACTTTATTTAAAATGTATTTGCATTTTAAAATTATAGTTGTGTAGAACATTAGGATAAATGCCAAAAATCTACGTGCATGTAATCACATTCAAAATGCATAAAATCAAAGACAAGTAAAACTCTTAAAAAAGCCAGAGGAAAGAAAACCCGTACTAGAGAAGCAAGAATAAGAATTACATCAGACTTTTCTGTAGAAAGTATGCAAGCAAGAAGAGAGGGGATATAAAATATTTAAAGTGTTGGAGGGAAACCCATCAACCTACAGTTCTTTAGCCGGTGAAATTATCCTGCAAAAGTGAAAGAACTGCAGACATACCTTGGAGATACTGTGTTTCAGTTCCTGATCACTGCAGTAAAGCAAATCTTGTGATCAAGTCAAATGAATGTCTTGGTTTTTACAGAAAAGTAACTGTGTGTTGGCATTATGTCTAAAAAAAAAAAAAAAAAGGTATATACCTTAATTTAAAATGCTTTATTACTAAAAAATGCTAACCACCATCTGAACTCTCAGCCAGCCATCATCACTGATCACAGATCACCAAAACAAATATTGTAATAACGAAAAAGTTTGAAACATCACAAGAATCACCAAAATGTGACACAGACACAAAGTGACCAAATACTGTTGGAAAAATATTGCCAATAAACTTATTCAGTGCAGAATTGCCACAAACCTTCAATTTATAAAAACCACAATATCAGCAAAGTACAGCAAGGTGAAGCACAATAAAACAAACTACTCCTTCTCAAACAAAAATGAAGGGAATTTGTCACCAGTAGACCTGGTTTGTAAGAAATACTAAAATTCTTCGGAAAGGGAAGATAATCTAGGTCAGACAAAAAAGGAGAAAAGCATTATTAGAGAAGGAATAAATGAAGATAAAACCAAATGTTTCATTTTTTAAAATTTAATTGCTCTGTTAATTCAAAATAATACCAATTTGCCTAAGCTAATTTTATAAGTTTATGGGTAAGTGAATGACAGCAATGTTATAATGGATGGGAGAGAGAAACTGGGAGTACTCTTATAAGGTACTTGCACCACCTATGAAGTGAAGTAGTGTTATTTAAAAGAGAATTGGGTTAGTTGTCAATGTATAGTGCAAACTCAAGGATAACCATTTAGAAAAGAAAAATTGCTCTGCTAGGTGAGGAGAAAAAAAAATAGAATCATGAAATGCACAATTGAACTAGAGAAAACAGGAAAAGAGTGGAAGACAAAAAGAACAAAAAAAGAACAAGAGCAGTGACTTGAAAACAGTAACAAAGTAGATCTTGGGGTGCCTGGGTGGCTCAGTAAAGTGTCTGCCTTCAGCTCAGGTCATGATCCCAGGGTCCCGCGTCAGACTCCCTGTTCAGCGAGGAGCCTGCTTCTCCCTCTCCTACTTGCTGCACCCCCTATTTGTGCTCTCTCTCTCTTTGCCAAATAAAAAATATTTTAAAATACAGTGGATATTAACCCAATTATATCAATAATTACTTTAAATGTCAATGGTCTGAACATACCAATTAAGAAATAGACTGTCAGACTGGATAAAAAAAAAAATAAGACCAAATTATATGTTACCTATCCAGAAACACCACTCTAAATGTAAAAACAAAGTTAGATTAAAAGGATGAAGAAAGATCTGTTGCTAGATCTACTGTTGTTAACACTAAACAAAAGCTAGAGTAGCTACAAAAGTAGAGTAGCTACTTTACATTCAAAGTAAATTTCAGAGCAAGGAAAGTTAGGGATAAAGAGGGACATTACATAGTGATAAGTGGTAAGTTCTCCAAGAAGACAACAATTTTTAATGTGTATGCACCTAGCAAGAATGGCAAAATATGTGAGGCAAAACCTGAGAATTGCAAGGAGAAATAGATGAATCCGCTATGATAGAGACTTTGCACCCTTTATCTGGGCAATTGACAGATCAACAGGCAAAAAATTAGTAAGGACATGACTGAACTCAACAACACCCATCAATCAACTGGATCTAACTGACGTCTGTAGAGTACTTAATCCACTCTTCTCAAGCTCACATGGAACATTCAAAATAGACCACCTTCTGTGCCATTAAAAAAAAACACCTCAACAAGTTTGAAAGAATAGAAACCATATAAAGTATGCTTTCAGAGCACAATGGAATTAAACTAAATTTCAACAACAGAAAGGTAGTTGGAGAATCCCAGAATATTCAGAGGTTAAACAACGTGCAACACTTCAGTCAAAGAAGCTCAGAAATATTGGGATCCCTGGGTGGCGCAGCGGTTTAGCGCCTGCCTTTGGCCCAGGGCGCGATCCTGGAGACCCGGGATCGAATCCCACATCGGGCTCCTGGTGCATGGAGCCAGCTTCTCCCTCTGCCTATGTCTCTGCCTCTCTCCCTCTCTCTCTCTGTGACTATCATAAATAAATAAAAATTAAAAAAAAATAAAGATAAACAGATGGCAATAAGCATATAAGATGTGGAGCATCATGTTATTAGCAAATTGCAAGTTAAAATAACAAAATAGCGTTCATACCTCCTACAGTGGCTAAAAAATTCACAACACTGATGACACTAAATATTAGCAAGGCCGTGGAGCAGTAGGAACTCTCATTCATTGCTGGTGGGGAGGCAAAATGTACAGCTATTTTGGAAGATAGTTTGGCAGTTTCTTATAAAACTAAACATACTCTTACCCTATGATCCAATAATCCCGGCATAGAACCGAATGAGTCAAAAGCTTATGTCCACACAAAAACCTGTACACAGATGTTAATGGTAGCTAGTAGCTTTATTCATAATCGTCAATACTGGAAGCCAGCAAGCTGTCCTTCACTAGGTGAATGCATAAACCAACAATGGAATATTGTTCAGGGATAAGAAATGAGCTCTGAAGCCATGAAAAGATAGGAACACTTAAAGCATATTGCTAAGTGAAACAAGCCAATCTGAAGCCTTTTCAGCATGAAAAAGCCATGCTGTGTGATGCCAACTATATGACATTGAGGAAGTGGCCGAAATGTGAGACCGTAAGGAGATCAGTGGTTCCTGGGGTTTAAGATGCAGAGGGAGGGAGGGACAAATGGCTGGCACATGGGATTTTTAGGGCAATGATAAAATTCTGTACGATGCAGTAACGATGGACACCTGTCACTATACGTTTGTTAAAACCCATGGAACGTACAACACAAAGAGTGCACTTGTGCCTGTTTCTGGCCTCCCCCTTTGGGTTGTGAGCTCCACAAAGGTGATGACTGTTTCCACCCCTCCCATATTCCAAGGTTGGGTGGGATGGCATGTGTAAAATCACAAGCTTTGCTTTTAGACATCCATTTTTAAGTTTGGCTCCCACTGGGCAACTGTGTGGCCTTGAACACATCACATAACCCTCTTAGACATGTTTCCTCCTTTGGAAAGTGGGCAGAGGGATCCCTAGTGGCTCAGCGGTTTAGCGCCTGCCTTCATCCCAGGGTGTGATCCTGGAGTCCCAGGGTCGAGTCCTGCGTCATGCTCCTGCATGAAGCCTGCTTCTCTGCCTGTGTCTCCCATGAATAAATAAAATCTTTAAAAAAAAAAAAAAGTAAAGTGGGCAGAATAGTAACATTACCGAATAGGGTGGTTGGAGTGTCAGTGTTGCATGTTTAGATACTATCAGAGGCACTCTTATTTTTTTACTTAAGTCTTTTTCAACTCCTGCAAAATGGAATCAGCGGGCCGATGTGGTTTCCAATGCCGGCAGTTAGTCTGTGACAAACGCTCTGAAGTTTGTTTCAAGTTCCATGTCATGAGAAGTGGTTAACAGTCATTTTAGGAGCCACTATTCACCTTCCCCAGCGAGGACTTCTCATAACTATTCCAACACCTTCCATGGCTTTTGACAAAAGATTTTTTGACAAAAGATTAAAATTTAGGTATATGATAAAATATTTGTTAGGAAAAAAACAAAACTTGTTAGCAAAGAGTTCTTTTTATATTTTTCACAGAAAGATGCAACTCAGGCCACCTTTGGTTTATGTCAGGGCAAAGTCTAGTCTTGCTGATAGTTTGTTTCAACCTGGTTTGCTGTCAAAAAGGTTTTGTTTTGTTTTTTTTTTTTTTAAATCTCCCTGGCTTATAGTCTTCATCCCTTTCTCTTATCAGGAAAAAGAAACAATTCAAAGCATAATACTTAAAAGTCCTTGTAGGTCCACATGATTGTCTTTTTTTGTTTTAATTAAACTGATTCTTTACTTAAAAAGAGGCTCATACTAGGAATTGCATATTTTTCTTTACCAAAAAGGAGGCTAGGGGCGCTTGAGGTGGCTCAGTTGGTTAAACATCCACCTGACTCTTGATTTTGGCCATGAGGGCCATGATCTCAGGGTTGTGAGACTGAGCAGGATGTTGGGCTCCATGCTGGGCATTGGAGCCTGCTTAAGTTTCTCTCTCTCCCTCTGGGTCCCCTACCCCACTCATGCTCACTTTCTCTTTCTCAAAAAAAAAAAGTGGGGGGGACTATATTTGGTTTTCAGGAGGGTAAATAAGATATTACCTTTTAGCACTTTATTTTTTTTTAAGATTTTATTTGTGAGAGAGAGCAAGAGAGCACAAGCAGGGGGAGCAGCAGGAGGAAAGGGAGAAGCAGGCTCCCCGCTGAGCAGAGAGCCTGACACAGGGCTCCATCCCAGGACCCCGGGATCATGACCCGAGCTGAAGACAGACGTTTAACCCACTGAGCCACCCAGATGCACCTGCCTTTAAGCATTTCACATAGTGCCTGGCTCCTAGTCCATGAAGCTAGGAATGGGTGGTAGTATGATGTTGTCACATCACCAGTGTATACAAATTTTGGCTGAATTAACAGCATGTGCATTTGACACCTGAGTGACATGACATTTGTCAGTGTTAAAATGGTATCTTGTGAATGTTAAAATGATGGTTGTGATATGGTCCAAGGTTTTGGTGTGAAAATAGAAATCACTGTCATGACTTACTATTTGGAATTCTTTGAGTTTTGATAAAATATCCATGTTTACTTTCGTAACTATTTCATTTCTGAATGAGTTCAGGGTTGTGTCAAGCACATCTCTACAAACAGAATATTTGAGGAGGGATAGATTTTATTCTCAATGAATAAGAAACCAGGTTATAATTAATCACTATGTTTTTTCCTTTCACATTTTAAGAAGTAGAGACATCTCAATGGTAAAAATATAAACAATGAAGATTTTATTTGGACATCCACAGCTTAAATATATGGTGAATTGTTTCATTAACTTGTATTTTGACATTTGTGTATTGTCTAATTATGTACATAATTAAATAATATGTGGCTAAAAGTTGATTAAAGAGTAGCAGAGCTCAAAACCTTCATAGCAGCAGCAGCAGCAGCATTTAACTGAGTGACACACCGGCTGAGTGATGGTGAGATCATGTGACCAGGCCACCTACACACTTGTCCATCCTGCCAGCTACTGGGAATGTGCATGCAGGATCTCCCCTCGGCCCAGGGCTCTCCACAGATTCCATTCCCATGGAAGATACACAATATATATTTTCCCCCAATCCCCCCACAAAAACCCAACCAAACAAAAAAGACAAAGAGACACTCCTGTTGCCTTGGAAGATGTTTTCTCCAACTGCACCGAGAAGAGCTGTCCTTGCACTTTGTCTGTGGCCATTCAGCCCAGCTCACACCGGAGTGCATTCCCTGCCAACCAGACGATGTCTTCACCTGCCACCTCACAGTAGTATCAATCTAGGATGGTGATGACACATAGAAAAGCTTGTGACTGCCTCTGGTTGTCCTAGAAATCAACCAAGGCATCCTGAAGGATCAACAGTAGAGGGCTGAAAGTCTGAAAGAGGGCAGGGAACGTGGTGTCTGGAGAATAGGACTTTTGCAGGACAGAATGAGAGACTGGAGACCAGCACTGGGAAGGCAGACGCTGTGAGGAAGACAGTGAAGAGCAAGCATGTTGTTCACAAAGCTGGCGATGGAGAGGGCACTGGCAGAGAAAAGGGACGCGGATGATACACAGTAGAAGGCTCCCCAAGGGGTCACCATGGGTGCCGGGCAGGGGGAGTGCAGAGAGAGCCCACAGAAGGAGCATCCGGCCGGGGAGACCCCACCCTCATGCCCTCCTCTGATGACAGACTCAGAATGGCTGGATCTGAGTGCAGAAGAACAGTAGGTATTTCTTCCTTCCATTTTGAGTAAAGGCAGGAGAATATTCACTTATCTGGGAACAAGTGTAGCACAGGAATGAAAATTATGTGCTCTGGCATCACGCAGGTGCACATCCTGCCTCTGAAATGGCCCCGGGGGATCCCTGGGTGGCGCAGTGGTTTGGCGCCTGCCTTTGGCCCAGGGCGCGATCCTGGCGACCCGGATCGAGTCCCACGTCGGGCTCCCGGTGCATGGAGCCTGCTTCTCCCTCTGCCTGTGTCTCTGCCTTTTCTCTCTCTCTCTCTCTCTGTGAGTATCATAAATAAAAATTAAAAATTAAAAAAAAAAAATGAAATGGCCCCGGGACCTGTGACAAGTCCCTGAACCTCCCCGGCCTCAGTTGTCTTTGCAGTGAGGCCTGAGGAGTGCCTCCCTCACATACCACATGGGACACGAAGTGAAAGGACCCATTTAAGGTCCCGGCACATCACCCGGAGTATGGTAAGCTCAGTAAATGCTGTTATGGAAATAATACAAGAACCCCTTAGGAAAGAAAAACATGAAAGCAGAAGCAGGAGTCTCTTTAAGAAATTAGCTTTACTTACATGGTAATTAATAGTTTTGTTTTTTTACCGGACTATGTTATAACCTCTTTTGCCACAAAGAGAAGTCAGAGAAACAGAATACTTACAACCCATGTTGCTAAACATAGAACCTATTTGCTAACTAAGCAGGTTAAGAAATAAGAGTTTTCCAGGATACCTACATGTGGCTGCAAATTTCCCGGCTGTATTTTCCTGGATTAAATTTAAAAAATGAACTTTATTGCCATCAAATTTGGCTATCTGCAACATAAACCTTTGACAAGAATCATGAAACATGTTCCAGTTAGCTGTTGGAAATTAATGATAGTTTATAAATTAAATTATTTATCATTTTATGCATAACTGAACTTAAAAGGGACTTACCTGCTTTGAAAAGTCATTTTTCTCATCAAAGGCGAGGTTCTTTTCAATTATACCAACAGTGGTTTGTGGAATTAGAAAGAGCAACTCAGCCTCCCCTTTCCAGTGTTAAAATGAAGGTATTTGTTAGTCTCAACCTCAAACTCAGTATGGCTCTTTGTCCCTACTTTTATCAGAGAGCATTTCTTCCTTGCTCCAAGGAAGGCTAGAAGTCAGCCATAGTGCTGCCCGTAGACACAGAGAAATGCTTCTCGTTACATATGAAGAGCGAGTCCCAAATCACCTCCCTCCCTCAGTTCATACCAGGGCCACGTTTCCTGAAACCTTTCTCCAAATCCTAGTGCGGTTTCTTTTTAATCTTCCAGATTGGTGTGGGCCAAAAGCACCTGCGACCCTCGGATCGCAGTGGGTTCCCAGTCCCCACTAGAAAAGAAGATTAAGGTGAGGAAATACGTTTACTGAGAACTTTGGAGCCAGTAATACCAGCATAAAAAGTTTCTCCCTCGAGGTAGAAAGGGCCCGAGTGTTTCAAACCAAGCGTGCTTTGTCTGTTAGGCCTATGGTGTCAGCTGGACAGCTTTGACCAAAACAGATGTCACTTGTGCCCCCCACGGAGCCTAGACAGGTGGGCATGAAACAGTCCTCACAGATTGTGATAAGGGTCATGAAAGATGGGATTTTATTTGAATGAATACGTGGAAGGTCTGAGGAAATAACAAGCTAAACGTACAAGTTATGTACATAATTACTATAGTCCGAGGTGCTGTGTTGTGTGTTTGGGAGTATATGAAGGAAGAACATGTGAAAATGCTCAGATGGCAAAAAGAGTATCGTTTTTGGGGAACAGAAAAAGTCAGAGTGGCTGCAGCACAGTGAGCAGTCAAGCTGCGAGGCAGTCAGGAGCCAAATTACAAATCCCATACTGGGATTTGGGGATTTTTTCCTAAAAGCAATAGGGGATGCTATCCTAGGTTTCAATGCAGGGAAGTGCTCAGATTTGTAATATACAAAGACCACTCCAGTTGCTGTGTGAGTGGTCTGATGGGGCTGGGGCCAGAGAGAGAGAAGTGTGGACTCAGGGAAGCCAGTTAGGCTGCTACCCTAGGGTGGGGGCATTTTGTAGTCGGTACAGGACTGAGAAGGGGGAACCAAAGGAAACACTCTGGAAGAAGGGCCAAGTAGGGATGTTAAGTGGACAGTATCTAGCTGTGAAGTTGAGAGGTGAGTACAGGGCGGTCTCATGCGCCTCAACAGTCTTGCTCATGCCTTACTGCCCCCTCTAGAGCAGTCCCTGACACATGGTAGGTCACCCCATTGAGTGATTGAGCCTGCCCATGTCCAAGGAAGCCTAAATTAGACTAGGCTCATCTTCAGTGACAATTTCTGTTACATTTTCTTGTATTCCACCAGCAAAGCAGGTGGAAGGATGTGGCCATGAGGTAGGAAGGAAATGAAGGGCTATTCAGTCACCTGGGGATATTCAGCTAATGGCTGGAACAGTCTAGGGGGGCCTACCATAGCCTTGGTCACAAGCCCTTAGCCACAGCTTGGAAGCCAGAGGAAAGGAAAATATTTCAAGGAGGAAAGAGTGCTCAGCACTGTAAAATGCCACTGAGGACAAATGTGACAGGGACAGAGCCAGGACCGCTGAACTTCATCCCTCATGACCTAGACAACAGCAGTCTGGGGGTGGGGGGGGCATGGAAACCCAACAGAGAAGGACTGGGGGGAACCGGGAGGTGGGGAAGCAGAGAGGGTTCTAAGTACCTGCTTCATGGCATGCTGTGAAGGGGAACTGAGATGGGATGTGAAGCAAAGGAAACGTTTTCCTTGTCTGTTTAAAGATGGTAGATCTACTAGAACATGTTGTTATGCTGGTGGAGTGATCCAGTACAGGGGAAATTTTGATGAAACAGGAAAGAGAATTTGGTAATAGCGAATTGAAGTTCTTGAAGCTTCACAAGGACAGGGCGGGGCGGGGGTGGGGAGAGCTGGTGTGGAGAACTGGCCACGTTTCCATTGTAAAGGCTGAGTCTGGGATAGACGCAAGGTGGTGGTTCTGGCAACGGGAAGACCAGGGTGTTCCTTCTGTTTTCTCAAGGAAGTCTAAGGTGAAATCCTCACCTGGAGGGGAACCCTGGGGGAGGGGGGTGTGGGAGGTTGGAAGAGAAAGCCAGGGACCATGGCCAAGAGGCCCTAACAGGGGCATGGTGTCAGAGTGCCAGGCAGAGCTGCTCACCACCTGCCATCTGTGTCATGGCCTGTGACAAAGGACATCGGGCTTAAAAACCTTCTCATACTTCCCTCTGACAAGAGTTTAGGTGGTGTCCATTCTTCAAAAGTGAGGAAGTTGTTACTCCAAAAGTCTCAGCAGGAGAATGAAACACTTCATCAGCTTAAAGCCATGTCTTTTGACTTCTGGTTTGCCAAAGCAGAGGCATACTACTATCGCCAACGTCAAGAAATGATGCTGGGAGAAGCCTGGAAATACGTAGTTCCAAGGTGGAAAATTAAAATAGAGAGAGAGAGACCACAAAGTGAAAAAACAGGAGATGCTAAAAAGCAGGACTACCTAGTGCCTGAGAGGGAGCTGGGCCAGATACAGAAGCACATATACCGAGCCGAGCGAGCCAGAGGCCTCAGAGACCACAAGTATCGGCTCCTCCCTCAAAGGATCCCAAGTGAAACAGCCTTCCCCCAAGTACTCACCCTAGGGAAGGAGGGAAAAACTGAAGCTATCCAGAAAACACACAAAACTAAGACCAAAAAGCACAGGGTGGCCTCGGCGAAGGAACAGATCAAGGGGCATCAGAATCGAATGATTCGAGGGAGAGAGCTCGTGGAGCAGAGGAGCCAGAGACTGCATTCTTGCAGGCTCTCTACCTCGGCTCCTCCCCTCCACAGGCCTGCGACACACAAGGACGAAGAGAAGGAGTACGAACTGGTCACAGCCTACCCCATTGCCCAGCCTTATCAGGAAGCACTCATAGAAGTGACCATCCTCATGGAAAAGTCCAGAAAGGATGATTATATAAAAAAGCCACTCCAACGAGAGCTCTTGAGCATACCACCATTTTTGAGAAGCCAACTAGGAAAAAATAAAGTTTAAGTTATTTTCTGGATTACTGTATTTCTTTTTCAGGCTGGCATACTTTGACAACTGTTAGTGCAGTAAAATCCCATACCCCCAAATTTCATTCCTAAGTTTGTTTGCATCAAACTTGGGCAGGGGAGTTACACCAAGTGTTTCAACTATCTGAAACTATCTGAAACAATCCTGAGGTCAAGAGTTTGATCAAGAGTTGCATGCTCTGCCTACTGAGCTAGCCAGGCACCCCTCCTATTCAGAAGTTTAATTTTTTTTTTTTAAGATTTTATTTATTCATGAGAGACATAGAGGGAGGTAGAGACACCGGCAGGAGGAGAAACAGCCTCCATGCAGAGTCTGATGTCGGACTTGATCCCAGGACCCTGGGATCAAGCCCTGAGCCAAAGACAGATAGATGCTCAACCGCTGAGCCACCCAGGTGTCCCAATTCAGAAGTTTAAAGAGGTAAAAGTGGCCCATAATCTCCCTGCCCAGATAACTTCTGTTGAAACTTTTTTTTAAAAAAGAATTTATTCGAGAAAGCACAAGCATGAGCAGGGGTGGAAGGGAACAAGTAGAAGGAGAAGCAGACTGTCTGCTGAGCAGGAAGCAAGACTCAGGGCTCAATTTCAGGACCTCGGGATCATGACCTGAGCCAAATATACAGTTACCCGACTAACCACCCAGGCACCCTGACAATTTTTAAAAATAATGAAAAAGTACATGGTTAGAAAGCTCAAATAATTATAGAAAAGTACAAAAGGCAAAGTGACCACATGGTCACTTTGGCTTGCCAGGGGCCACTGCTGTTTTTGTTTTTGTTTTTTTAAGATATATTTGAGAGAGAGCACAAGCAGGAGGGGCATTTATAGAGAATCTCAAGCAGACTCAACACGGAGCATGGAGCCTGATGTGGGGCTTGATCTCATGACTCGGAGATCATGACCCCCACTAAAATCAACAGTTGGACACCCAACTGACTGAGCCACCTGCGTGCCTCTCACGTTTCTTATATGAGCAGAGTTTGAAGCAAGTAGAAGGCAGGCCAACAAAAGGGGGGAAAATGGAAGGCAACCCTAAACACACGTGCTTAAAAAATTGTGATTCCATTAATGTGAAATATCCAGAAGAGGCAAATCTTGACAGAAAGGTTATCGATTGGAACTAAGGAGTGAGGAGGTGGGTGAGGAGGGTGAATGCCACCAGTTGGGAACAAGAATGTTCTACATCAGGTTGCGGTGATGGTTACAGAGACCTGTGATCAGATTGAGAAACAACGGATTGGTCTACGGCCATACCACTACCACCCTGAAAGCACGCAATCTCGTCTGATCTTGGAAGCTAAGCAGGGTCAGGCCTGGTTAGTACTTGGATGGGAGAAACAATCAATTATTCACTTTAAGTGGGTGAATGACATGGAATGTGAAGTATATCTCTGCAAAGCTGCTCAACCAAAATGGAAGAAAAAGCCTGAGTGTAGAGGGGGAGGTGAGCCTGGGTGTCACCAAGGTGCCCGAACATGTAAGGCCTCCGTGGCTCTGCAAGCTCAGGTCTCTCAAGTCTCGAAGGCAGTGTGGAGTCACTGAGGAACTGACAAGTGGTTTTGAAGATGTGAAGGGGGTGAAAGGCAGACAGGAATGGGGTGGGGGGAGACACGACGGGAGCGTATGGCAGAAATCTGGGTGGGATGGAGAGAATCAAGACACCAGATGGGATGTCATGATTGATTAAGGTAGGGGCTGTGGGGGAAAAGAAAACAAGTACTAGATTTCTTTGGAGGAAATAAAGTAGTAGAATTACCACTATAGGGATTACAGGGAGGACAGATTGGGGGCTATTTTATACACATTTAAAACAGGCCCTGTGCTGCCAATAAGCCATTGGTCACGCATGCCTGTGGCTTCTCAGACTGAAGTCAAATATAATTTGGAGAATGTTCAGGATATAGATGTAGTATAACTCCTGAGAGTAAGATGGGGGGAAGGGAGCCAGGGAAAGCACCAGACATGAGGATGTACAGCTTTCCAGTAGAAATTTTTTTAAATGTATGAGAGCAAGCAAGCAAGCAGAGGGATAGAGAGGGACAAGCAGACTGCACTGAGCATGGAGCCTGATGCCAAGCCCGGTCCTAGGACCCTGAAATCATGACCGGAACTGAAGTCAGAGTCAGGTGCTTAACCAAGCGAGTCACCTGGGTGGCCCTCCAGGACTGGATTTTTGAGTGTCAAATGTGCAGCATTTAACCCCAGGACCTAATTATTTGGGAAGGAATCACCAATTTGACCTAAAATGGCCCCTGGAGAATGCTGGCAAAGGAGGTGCATGGACTCCAAGATGGCCAGGAGGGGAGAGTACAAGTGGTCCTTGCTCAAAGAAGAGACAGGACAGTAACTGAGGGTCACAAGAGCTCTCTTAAGATGAGCAATGACCATGGCTGCAGGGAAGGCACTAGGTGTGGAGGGGGACTCACACCTGAGCACCAGGAAGGGCTGGGATCCAGAGCCTGCCATAGAAGCGACATCCCGACTCTGATACTCGAGGGAAGGAGGGGGTGGTGTAGGAAGCTGGGGAATGGGAAAGGGAACCAATACAGGGCTAGAGAACATACGGACAGGCCTGAAAGGCCAGTGAAAGTCGGCAGCATAGGTAGGAATACACTACCCACCCCGCTGTATGGTTTTGCTCTGTGGTGTAGACAGAGGACTGCTGGGGACACTTCCCAGCCTGGCCTGGCACAGGGCCACATAGTTTCTTGTGAGTAAATCACAGGCTGAATCATATACAGTTGCTGATATGTGACGGTGTCTTACCTACAAAACAACAATTTCATACAGTTCAACCTAGATTTGTTGACTCAACCAGCTAACTTTATAGCTAGAGATATAAAAAGAACCAGAATGATCCACAGGCCGTAACAACCCAACTAAAAAACTTTCCGTGGACAGAACTAGAGAAAGGACAACCTCTGGCATGATCAGAAAATAAAGAGTAACTACAGTTTGTGAATACGGCAGTGAATTTCCTTTAATCAAAGACAACCATGACAAAATCATAACTATCAAAAGCTACATTTTACTAAAAACAATCTGTCTTTAAAAATGTTTAATCATACAATATATACAATACATGCTGCTTCCCTTTTTGGATTTCACTATCCATCTGAGTCCTAAAAAAAGAGTAAAGAATAGCTTGTTAACAGTTTACAAATGATAAAATGAATCAAAAGTTCACTTGATATACATAATAGAATCTAACCACTAGTCCTTTCTCAGTGAGTAGGGCCCCAGTCCACCCACATTATATACCTTATGTCTGTTCTCTTTCCCTCAAGTTATCTTTGAACAAAAGCAGCTCAATTAATTGAGGTACATGTTAAGCATTTACATTAAGTATTAAAAGCTAATTTTAAACTCTCAAAATTATAGAAAATTTGAGCTAAAAAAAAAAAAAACACCTTAATGATCTCATTCAGAATTCCATCAGTTTACAGATAGATTTATAGACAAAATGAAGGTAAGATTAAGTGACCTGCTCAGTGATTTTAAACTAACGAGATGAAGCAAACAGAATTCAAGTTTCCTGACTCCCACCCATAGCAAATGCCCAATCATATCGAAGACTTCCTGCTAGCATGTTCTCTTTCGTAAAAATGAAGTGTTTCACAGCATAACTCAGATTTCAGAAATGTCCATTTACTGACATCATTCCAGGTAATTCTGTCCTAATACTCCTTTTCTACTTCATAGCTGTAAAATAAGCAGATCTAGTTTTATCACTTATCTAGTCTATCAATCCGTTAGGGAGGGGAGAAGGTGGAAACAAATTCCTGCTCTGCCTCTTTCAACCACAAATTTTTAGAACTGAAGTAATCCAAAGAAGGGGACTCGCAGCCACTAGGCCTGGCACTGCCTTTCCCACCAGCACACACAGGTTGGAAATGAGGCACTAGGGGGAGGCAAATCCCAATTTCACTAGAATGCGGAAAAAGGAAGATGGTCTGGAACCTACTTGGAATTTAATAACACATAGGAAATGTTACCTTTGCAGGCGTCAAGCGCTTAGCCTCTGCTGACTCTGGCCTGAAGCAATCACAGGCTCTGAGATCTCGAAGGTCTTCACTATCTCCTGGCAGAGAACAAAGACATTTGGGCATTAGGTTTACAGCAAATAACAAGGGAGACAGAACTACCCTGGGGCAATGTGCAGAGTTTTACGTTTTACCTCCCAGTCACGGTAGCTCAAAGCTATAATTCCTTGATTCCTAATTTGGGTGTTTTGCTCAATTCCCTCACTTTCTTCATTAATATTAACAGGTTCTGTTTCAAAGATAAAAGTGTACAAAGGTTATCAAATCACAAGAGGTACTCTGAACAGAAAGTGCTGAGAAGGAATGAACCTGTAGGGAAGACACTCAGAGTATTAAATACTTATTAGGATTCCACTCATCAGTGACACATTAACCATGTTATTTTGGTAGCAAATAATCCCTTAGCTTCTATTAAAAAAAAAAAACAACACCCTCCCATAGTAGAGTTACTAGTGGCAATCATTTGAAAACCGCCGCCTATCTGCCTACCAACCCCAGAGAGAATCCTACTGAGTCCCAGAGAAATTGAGAACCATTAAATAACAATCAGGGCAATTCAAGTACTTGGCTCTCTCCAGGAGACCTCAGAAAGAAAGGATTCACAGAGAAGTGGAATTATTCAACTAAGAAAGATTCTCTCAAGGTTGAGGAGAGGGAGCTGGCTTCAGGGGAAAACAGAAGGGAAGAAAGTACAACAGTAACTTTAATTACAAACATTCTAAATTAAAATTGGAGGGACTTCCTTGTTAATCTATATGGCAGTAGATGTTGAGTCAATGATACAGATGAACCCCCTGGTTTTTAAGTAATGCCTGTGTTGGCAGTACTTCAGTTAGTTGAGCGAGATACAGCATTGTAAAAGTTGGTTACCTAAAATGCATACTCACAGTTGCATTTCATGAACTCGAATGACACATTTTCTCTAAAACTAATTTTTCTTAATGTAGCATCATTTACCTATTATTGGCAGTCGGTCTTGATCAAGCTTTATTCTTGCAAAACCATCCTAAAGCACAAACATAATTTTAGATTTAGATTCAAAAGCCTATTTAAAAAATTAGATCCAAAACCTATAACCATTGGATAAAAAAACATTAATTTGAAAACCCCATATCCCATGGGGCATGTGGGTAGTGCAGTCAGTTAAGCAACTGACTCTTGATTTCAGCTCAGGTCATGATCTCAGGGTCATGAGATTGAGCCCTACTTTGGGCTCCAGGCTCAGCAGATAGTCTACTTGAGATTCTTTCCCTCCCCATCTGCCCCTCCTCTTCCTTCTCTTTCTGTCTCTCTCTCTCAAAAAAAAAACAAAGAGGGATCCCTGGGTGGCGCAGCGGTTTGGCGCCTGCCTTTGGCCCAGGGCATGATCCTGGAGACCCGGGATCGAATCCCACGTCAGGCTCCCAGTGCATGGAGCCTGCTTCTCCCTCTGCCTATGTCTCTGCCTCTCTCTCTCTCTCTCTGTATGACTATCATAAATAAATAATAAAAAAAAAACTCCATATCCCAGACAATCAAAATATACCATTAACAATGAGGACATTATGTGGACAAGACTTTCCAATGAGGCATCCCTCAGGTTTCTGACCAGTCTTCATCCTGAGTATCTCCTAAATAAAACTGAAACTGGCTTGGGTCTTAGACCTTCCTTGACTCTTAAATATGATTCACACAGATTTTTGGACACTCAGCATTTTATTATGCATAACTCATCATTAACTGTTGACAAAATATGCCTTTACCATTTCTGGGACAATACTTTGGTCGATAAAAGATTTTTGTCTGTGGGCAGCCCCAGTGGCTCGGCGGTTTAGTGCCGCCTCCGGCCCAGGGTGTGATCCTGGGGACCTGGGATGGAGTCCCACGTCGGGTTCCCTGCATGGAGCCTGCTTCTCCCTCTGCCTGTGTCTCTGCCTCTCTCTCTCTCTCTCTCTCTCTCTCTCTGTGTGTGTGTGCCTCTCATGAATAAATAAATAAAATCTTAAAAA